TCCCTTCAAACTCTGTTCTTGACTTCAATTCTCATTCATTTTCAATTTAACATCTTAACATTTTAGCTGTTGTCACTTACTAATAAATATGCAGCATTGCTCTCTGATTTCAAAGACAGATTTTCAGACATGGGAATTATATTTCCAAAGGCAGACACCTATTTTCTGGTCATTTTCAGATGACAGAGACCATCGATTCTCTGGAAAGGAGATGCATCACTGTTACATGAACCTTACCAATGTTCTGTTTCTCTGTCTTCTTGCCCCTGGAATGTCTGCCATTCAACCACCTGATATAAAGTTAATAAATAAATTCATTCTACACTTATGTCTTTTAAATATCCTCCAGTTACGGTGAAAACAAAGACAGACATTAAAGAAATCTTTTTTTTTTTTAAGACAAAACACCTAGTAAAATTTCTCATTTTTATTTCGAGGTTTGCAATTTACTCAGTACAGTTAACCTTTATAAATAACATATATGGAATATACGCAGACAGGATATCAAATAAAACAAATGATTTCTTGCTTTTAATGTATGGCGTTTAAATACTCCTTTATTGTACTATTTATAAAACTGTTTTATAGAATGCTAAAAAGTATGAGGCTGTTTAAAAATGTTAATCCTATAATTAATAGTCAGAGGCATATACTTTCCCCTAGCATAAGGCACTGATATTCTAAATCTGTCACTCTGAACTTTACAGTAGGAGACAGCCATCTGCCTGCATGCAAGCATCTAAAACAAAGCAGAAATATATGTTCTATGCTTCCCCTGGCAAGATATGGGATCATTATGATAAAATAGGCAACAAGGGTTAGCTAATATGAATTAAGATAGCATGTGTTGAAAAAAAGAACATATTAAATCAAACTAATTCTATAAGCCAACGTTACTAGCTTATTGGATATGAATGATTTGATAAAGTCTATGATGTAATGCCAAGTAGATAGGAAATGTGTGTGTGCTGACCCATTACTGAATCCCAAGGCCCCCCCCAATTCTTTGTCTGTGTTACTGGATCTAGTGCTATTTTAGTTAAGGCCTACACTTTCATTTGCACCTCCATTTTGCTGTGAAGCATCAAAGTTCTTAAAATAAATAAAATAATTCAACATTCTCACCCAGGTTAGAAATATTAACTGGAGGTAAAGAGGGGCAAGCCTTGGGAAGAAAAATCAGTTTCCAACATATCATTACATCTTGATGTCTATGCAATTATATATTTTTCAGAATCATGTTCCTAATTCAGTTGTGTCTAGATTTTCCTGAAATTCAGATACTCTGAAATCTACTTTCTATAATTTAGTTTAAGTGAAATCATTATTAAAAGATATGACCACTCACACACAAGTTTTTGGGCTCTTCTAATGTGTTTTTCAGTTTAATTTTATGGGGATTATGCTAATACCTTCTTCATTAAAAACTTATTAGATCTACATTAACCTCTTCAGTTTTCTGATTTTTGAAATCTTAGTTTTTAAAGAAAATTCTCTTTTCTTCCTGAAATAAGGATGCTTTTTCTTTTCTTTCTTTCTTTTTTTTTTTTTTTTTGAGTTGGAGTCTCACTCTGTCGCCCAGACTGGAGTGCAGTGGCCGCTCCCGGTCACCACAGTCTCGACCTGCTGGGCTCCGGCGATCCTTCCGCCTCAGCCTTCCAAGTAGCCGGAATTACAGGCATGTGCTACTACGCCTGGCTGATTAAGGATGCTTTTTCTAGACAGATGAAAGAGGGGGACAATTTAAAAACTCTATGTCATGTCATCAAATTAAATTTGATTTTCTAACTTGTGCAGCAATATAGCATGGTGGTTAAATGTGAAATCTGGAGCCAGCCAAGATGACTTCTAATCCTATTTCTATCATGTACTAGCTGTGCGACCTTGAGAAAGTAATTGAACAATTCTAGGCTTTGGATCTCTCATTTGCAAATGGGGATAATTTAGAGAGCCTACTTCAGCTGCGTTATTCTGAGGGTTAAGTAAAATAAGATGCATGAAGCACTCAGTGCAGCGTCTGGTAAACCAGAACTCTTCACAATAATATTATGGAAATTTCACTTCTGAAGCAGAAGTTCATACCTTTTAGATATTGATGGTACTCAATAGAGGATTCATTTAAGAAATTATTTTCATGGCAATTTATCTGTAAATTCTAAGCATTTAATACTAAGAACATTTCTAATAAATCGTGTGTGTGTGTGTGTGTGTGTGTGTGTGTGTGTGTATGTGTGTGTGTGTGTGTATATATATATGAAATATTAGGGACTGTTTATCCAAAGCAAGATTTTTACCAAGCAATTGAAACATTTTGAAACTGGCATACACTATTGTTTACCAAAATTTTCACTTAAAAATTGTGGTATCTGGCCAACTTGAATCATACTATACAAAGTTACATTGTGGTACCAGATGCTGGATGGAATCTCAGGCCATAGGGAAGTATTCAACATGTGTCAGTCTTGGATTTTAAAGCATACACACCATTATTGATTATATTGAGAACATTAGATTGAAAAGACAAACCTGCTCTTGGCTTTCTTTATGTTTGAAAGAGGCAAAGTATTTTATTCAAATTTAAGAGGAAAATGGTTACAAAGAAATACCTATCATTTTATCATTAAAAATAATATTTCCAGTTCCAAAGATGCACATCAAACCACACTCTATGTAGTATACTAAAACATTCCCCAAGAAATGAGGCAACAAAAACAAAATTAAGCCAATACTAGGATATCTGATAGTCTAAAAATAGTCCTATTGCATTTTTTTGTTTAGTGTATCATATGCCTCAGGTATTACTGAATTAAAATTTCTTTTTAAAATGCATTTTTCTAGGCTGGACTCGGTGGCTGTGCCTGTAATCCCAGCACTTTGGGAGGCCGAGGCAAGTGGATTGCTTGAACCCGTGGGTTCAAGACTCACCCAGGTGACATGGTGAGACCTCGTTCCACAATAAATAAAAAATTAGCCGGGCATGGTAGTGCACGCTTGTAGTTCCAGCTACTTAAGAAGGTTGAGGCGGAAGGATCGCCTGAGCCCAGCAGGTCGAGGCTGCAGTGGCCGGGAGTGTGCCTCTGCTCTCTAGTCTAGACGACAGAGTGAGACTCCAACTCAAAAAAAAAAAAAAAATTAAATTAAATGCATTTTTAGAATTGCTAATAATTGTTAATAAAATAGATTTTTAAAAGATTAATAAAATAAATTAATAAAATATTGTCATGGTTTCGATTATTATGCACTTAAGAAATATACTAGATTACTTAGTGTTTATAGCAAAACGCTATCATCCAATTTAATAGTTTATATAATTATTATAAATTCGACAAGAAAAACAGTTAAAAATACAGAAGGTAGAAAGCAATTAATAATATGAAAAAAATGACATAATTTCTACAATAAATATAGGACAGATTCCAAGTTTTTTTTTCTGTGGTCATTTATTTTACATTTTGCCATCAAAACACCAAGGACAATAAAACCTCAATCAAGCTTTGATTTAGATCTAAATAAACTTGAACTTCTTTTTTGGGGGGAAGGGAGTGTATGTTACTATATGAAGTGCTAAAGCTACTAAGTAAAGAGTTAAAGGAAAGAGAATTGGGAATTCAGTAGAACAAAAAGGAACGATGGCTTAGACAGTCATTTCTGGCTGAATATGTGTGACTGATGAGAAGATGAACTAACATTACAAAATTAAAATGCCAAAGTCTATTTTAAAGAAGGTAAGAAGCCTTCCTTCCTAACTTTGTGCTAGGTAGAGTATTGGAAAAATACCCTTCTTACCTTCTTTAAAATGAGAGTTTCAAATTGTTAAATGTAGATCTAAAAGAACTCTTCAACCCAAGCTATTTCCCTAGACCTCTACATGTAGAATATAGCATAAATGGTCATAAATTATTGCATAAAGCAAACCTCATGATACTTTGCAGACACATAAAATATTCGTCTAAAAATCAAGCCATATTGATGTCTTCAAACATATTTTACAGTTAAAAAATCAATCTTAAAGAGTATTTATATGTTGTTTTAAAATAAACATGAAAATGAACTGTTGCCATTTCCGTGCCTTTTACTGTGTCTGCTTACTTGGTAAATGCCAAAACATTCACAGCAGTCACTTAAGGTTATTTGGGAAGAAAAATTGAATAACATGTATGTGTATCTTTGAATTAACTTTAGGAAGTTTCATATTTTAGCATTAAAAAGGGGAGTTATTATTTAATACAATCTTGGATAAGTAATTAAATTCTCTGCAATCTGAATCATAATCCAATAGTAATCCCCATCCCTGCCTCCTTAATTTAGAACTAGTGATTAATTCCTGTTGACAACAATGACACTTTCGTCTATCAGTGTAAGGACATGCAGTCAGCTACATCATGACCTAATGCCTTTATGATCTGTCCAGGGTGGTCTGGCTTCAGTTGCAGTCTTGTCCTAATTAACCACAAACCTCTTAGGAGGTCATGAGATGTTGACAGTAAGGGAATGTGTTTTTTGATTCATAAATAGCTTGATTAATGCTGAAACCATATTGTTAGCATCAATAATTAATGTACTCTCCTTAAACACTAAATTTAAATATGAGGATCTGCATATGAAATATAGAAAAGGGGTGATTTCATTAGCACTTAGGCAATAAAAATAGTATTAATTAGAACCTAATTGCCTCTATAGTGACATAGGAAGGTTTCACCATAATTTTAGAAGTAACTACATAAATAACACTGCATTTGAATTTTAACTATTACTTTATGTGGCAACCAAAGATATATTTCGAGAGGCATTCCTAAATAAAAAAAAAAAAATCTTAGGTTTGCTTTTACAAGACTGAACCAAAAGTGTTCTATCAGAATTTGTCTTGATATAAAATTATACAGATGTCTTTTGTTTGTGCCGGTATCCACTGGTATACTTCCAATATATTTCAACTCTCTTCCATTCTCTGGAGAAGTTTTTTAAAAAAGAAATACAGAAGGATGATGAAAAGTGTTTACCTTTTTCACAGAAACGGCCAGCGAAATGCAGTGGACAGTCACATCGGAATGAGACGGCACCACCAGACAGGAAGATGGGATGGCAGGTACCTCCATTGTGGCATACGTCCTCCTGGCACACAGAGGGCACTGCGGGAGAGGGCCTGGGGGACGTCCATGTGGGGTCAGCCCCTTGTGTCACACCAGGAGGGGCAAAAAAGGAGGCTGATGGAGATCGAGTGAAATCCTGGGATCTATGATTTGTAAACAGACCAGAAACAAAACATAAATAAAAGTATTAGGAGCATAAACAGAAATGGAAAGTTTGGTTTAAAACAACAGGGAATAAGAGTAACATTGATGCCAGGTTTAGCTGAGGACAAACACAATTATGATATTTGTTTTACAACTGTGCAATTTGTAAGTGTTGGAAAAGTCTGAGCCTCAGGATGTAACCCTGGGTGAACTGTGGAGCTGTAGTCAATCTACGTGGTTTTGATTACCTAAATTAATTTCTTCAAAGAGGTAAGAAACCTCGGAGAATTGACCTTCACAAGCTTAAGAGTTAGTTCTTTTATGGAAAGAATTAGACTTTTGGCTAGTATAGTTTATAGTTCTCCTTTGGATGTTCTGAATCTTATGAGTCTAAGATCTAGAAATCAGATCATGTCACATTTTAGTGCTAACATTGACTGAATTTGAATGATTTCTTGATTGCTAGAAGTATGCATTTCTCAGAGTGACTTGGCCTTTATTTCTAGAAGTTATTCAAGAAGTATCTAAGAAAAACTCACAAATGTTTCTCTATTTTTTTTCACAAATTTTATTACCCATTTAATCTTTTTCTTTTTTAATAAATGACAAAAATTTTCTCGGGATTAAGTGAAATTCCTTGCTTTTACATTCAAAGCTCCTTGACAATCTGACTCCCCTCTGCTCTTCCAGCTTACTTTATCATGATTCCTAGTAAATAAAATTCTCTCAAACCAATGGGATTGCTATTCATTAAAGACCCTGAGCGTTCCTAATTTTGCAAGGTTGTTCAAAGTACTTTCTATTCATGCTTGTTCCTCTCTTCATACCTAAATTTACCCATCGTGCAAGTCCACGATGTTATTTCCTCCACATACCCTTCTCGGTTGCCCCTGACTCAGCAAGATAAAATTGATGCTTCTTTCATCTCTAAAATCCCACACTCTAGTATTCCTGTTAGAACAGTTGCCACGTGCTTGCAGTGTAGTTATTTTGTGTAGACTCTTCTAATAGGCTGTACATAAGTTGTTGGTTTTCTACCTTCCCTTCACATACAAATTTCTCATTTGTGTAGAAATCCCTATTTATAATAAACACTTTATAAATGTTCGTTGAATTAATGTCTTCAGTGTACTCATGATTTTTTCATACGGTTTGGGAAGAAGAGGTTTTTGGAATATCACTCAATAAAATCATGAGAGAATTTTCTTTCTAAGGTTAAAAAAAGTCTTGCTGCAATAAAAATAATCAACAATTTAATCTGAGTAAATTTCTATTTTGTGCATTGGCATAAAGATAAAATCTTAGCAAAAGAAGTCATTGCAACATATTTCTGACTGACATTGGATACTTAAATAGCTATTTTTTTAATCTACTACGCACATTCATGTCAACTAATCAGAATACAAAAGTTGAAAGCAGATAACAATTTATGAAAACATTCAACTGATATAATGTTTATATGTAGGTCTTCTGTTTTGCATTTCTTTTACAAAGTGAAATTCTTTTTTACAGTGTTAATCACAGGTTGTATTGATAGATTTATTTTTATGACTACTTGAACCTAACCCTCTTCAGTGTCCTTTGGATTGCAATCTCCATGGAGGACTAATGGAACATTATGTGCTTGTCTTTATTTTATTCCTAACAACAATGCTTGACCCCTTAGTAGACTCTCTAATAAATGTTATGTGAATGAATTTAAATCATTTTTTTGGTAAATATGCAATGTATGACACTACTAACAAGAAAAAAGCAAGTGAAATAATTTTGTCACTCAGGGGTTAATTTTTGCTTCATTATATAACTCTCCAATTTTGTAAGTAATATAAATTCTAACACTTTTGATGCAATCTTATAATCAACTTTCTTTGATTTTGTTCTATTAGGAAATTAGCATATTTCTTCCTACTGGTACTCACAATATAAGTTTGTCCCTTTAAGGTAACTTTCATCAAGTTAAATGGCAATGCTAATATGAATTACATGGATTTATTACTCAATATTCTGAATTCTAATTTAGTTTTTAGTTTTAATGTTTCTGAATAATTTCACCATTTCATCTAGCATTTGCCACGAACTTCATGAACTGCAGTCAATCACCTCTTTGTCAGGAATAAATTAGACTGAATTAAATGTCACTACTTTTCTCCTACTATAGCTACTCAGGGATCCTATTTCTCACCTGGAAAAAAAAAATCAATATTGTGCACATTTTAGTTGTTAACTGATTACACGAAATAATTACTATCAATTGATCTTCCTATTAAAACATTAAATCATAAATCAAATTTTGAAACCAGTATTAATCAGATATATTTTATGTTATAAAAATCAAATTTCATATTTGATATATCATTATTAATAGTCTTTGGATTTCAAGGGGGACCAAAGGGAGGCCCAAACTTTACCTATATGATGACCACATATATACCTAATCCTGAATTGTAACCCAAATCTTTAAAATAAAGAAAGAATTTAGAATTAAATACAATGTATTCGATTTGTTATATATTTAAAAAGAAACATTGGTTCTAACGGCTAAAATTTAAATTATTTTTACATAGAGGTTAAAAATATCCAGTGAACTTGGAAGTTTATTAAACATAACTAGATGGACATATTAGTATAATTAGCAATGTAAAAAAGGAGCAGTAAAATTACATTTTTTAATTCTAAAAATCATGACTGCATGAGAGTTAAGAAATAGACCAGAATTGATATTTGCATGGAATAAAAAAAATTCTAAAAATGAAACTTCTTTGCTTTCCTTATATAACTACTTGATTTACTATCTGTCTAAAATAATGTGTCAATAATCTGCTTGATTGGTTCTTGGGTAGCTTTGAACAAGGATACAGTGATGAACCAGTCACTGTTATAACAAGAATAAGCCCTCAAGAACTTTTTCTTAATGTATGAATGTCTGGATAGCATATGCAGATTTTATTCAAAACCAAGCCTGGTCATTGGAGAAAGACACCCAGTCCTGTTGGGGAACTCTAGCTGGGACAGGAAAGGAGGCCACACTACGTGTTGTCTCAATCCCAGCACTGTCCCTCTTCCAGGAGGTTCTATGGAATCCCTCCTTTGCAGACAGAGAGCAGCCTGTGAAAACCCTGGGGCTAAAACTCCACATTGCTTCAGCCTGAGGGACTTTGCTCATTGTCAGCTGACTTTACTGCTTAGCAGATATTTGTCTGACCTCCAGTTCTTGGAAGGAAGAGCTGGATCACTCAAATGTGTGAAACCTGGAAACCCTGCTTCATAAGCAGAGAAATCAGAGAGTTTGTAGAATGACTAAGATGAAATATTAAATAAAAACGAAGAAACTCAGCTAGAAGAATCTTGAGTATAGGGCCCTTAATAGTGTAAAGGGAAGAAACGTTTCAAAACTCGTGTTAACATTTTAAAAGTAGTAAAATAAATCTGTTCTAATCCAGATAACAAGACATACATCTCAAAAACAAAAACACCAAGGATTACATCTCATGTGCAGATAACATATATAGATACACTTTTTTTTTTGCAAAAATAAGAATACAATACAGACACACTTACTTCAATCTACTTTGCCTTCCTATCTATTATAATATGCTATCCTACTTCTTTGTTCTTTCAAGCATATGTTATATATGTATATATTTCATATCTGATACTAGCAACATCTTGTCTTTGCAGATCCAAGCCACCTCCTTCTTTCTTCACCTGGTTCCTGCCTCCTGATGCAAGTGTTGTCATTTTTTGCTGTAGGCTCATATTCTTTGGAGCTGTATTCGTGAGAATAGTTTGAAGGCATTACCCCTAAGAGGATTTGTGTTTGTTTTGCTCATCTCATAGGGACAATTCCCAACAGGAAACATTATATAATAAATTTTTCTTTAAGAATTTTTGGTGAATAGTAATAGGTTTGGCCCATGAACCTCCATATCTGGCTAGTTTGCTGTTATAAATAATTGGGAGAGTTTCCCCCCCCACGAAAGGTGAGATATGAAAGTTTCCTTGATAATTATTATTTTTTAAAAACTTCTTTTCTTTCTTAGCTTCTTTCTTTTTTCTTGGCTGTGAAAATTTTTCACATTATCTTGGCATTATAGTAATTTAGTTAAAACTTTTTTCCTATATTAGACTATATTTTATGTGTGATTTATAGCTGGAAGGTTTTTTCAGCTCTCACACTACCCAAAGTGAAAGTCACAAATTTTTTTTAGCTTTCCAGGAATTTCTCAAAATGCACATCTCCTAAAGGAATTTTATTGTTTTCATCACACACACACACACACACACACACACACACATACACATACACACAGCTTATAAATGTTTGTGTGCTTGATGTCTTTATGTTTTTATAGTTTCTATAGATTCTAGGTAGATATAGACTTAGAAATGTGTATGCTGTTTGCATTGCTCCATTTTCCATGTAATTTCATATTTTCCTGTATTTGTACTATAAAATAATTTACTGTGATTATCTCCCTTACCAGGATTCAAAACCTTAAAACAGTTTATTTATTTATTTACTTAAGTAATAAACACACCATAGTTCTGACTCCAAGTAATTGCTAGAGAAGTTTTTTTTTTTTTTACTTTATGCATGCTCTAATCCATAGATAAGACATTTAAAATGCAAATCATTTTTAGATATAAGATGCAGTGGATCATTATGGGAACTGAACTCTCTACCATGGATTCTTAAAGTAATTTACAAATTCATATTCTAATGTGAATAGCACACAGATTTTTGAGAGAATAGAGAAAAATTAAATCTAAATTGATGCATTTATGAAAACTGTACTTTTGGCTAAGATGGCATTTTTACCTTGTGACTTCATTTAGATTTAGAAGTCATTGAAGTTTGATTGCCTTGTCACTATGGGTAGTAAGAAATATATAAATATGCAGAATTTTTATAAGTGTTTCATGTCAAATGGAAGCATTTATTATATTAATTTAATCATTTTATTATGGAGAGGTAATTCTGGAATACTTCCAAATTAAC